TGATTGAAAGCGCTTTCGCCATGCAGTTTTGTACTTGCTTGTGATGAAACTATGTACCGAACGGTGATTTCAACATTGCATTTAACAGTGACAGTAAGACCAATGTGATCTACGAATTAGGGGGTGTAAAATAACTGCAATTTTTCGTCACCAACCCTGATGTATTTAGTTTAAGTCATTTTGGCATAAGTTCGAGAACCTCATGTGTTTCAGTCTGTGTTTGTAATAGTATCACAATTTTTGCGGCATGATACGTTTTTGCACCTCCACGCATCAGTACGTGCACATATACTGGCCGAGGTTCTGTGAATACTTGAGTCTTCAAATGCTTCACAATTTCGGTGGAAATGCCTTCGTTATTTGGCCTAGAATTAGGACGCCTCATTTGGATGATTTATGGACACCGGTCTTTTTCTCGCAAATTCGGAAAATTGGCAAGGCAAACTGCCGTCTTTGTTAGAATTTTTAATCTACGCGTTTAGAGAAGCAGGCTGTGGTTGTCAGCACACTGACACTTTTTTGAGAAACTGGAGTAAATTTTTTCTGCCTTTGCTCTACTCATGCCTTATTCGTATACAGAAGCACAATGTTTATCTCATCAAGATATGCTGTTCTACACTCAGCAGCCCAATTATGGCTGATAGTTCAACTTTTGTTTGTTGATCATAATCTGATTTGGAATTCCAACAACGTCTTATTTCAGGTTGTGTAGACCATAATACACAGCTACTTATCAGCACCACTATTTATAGACGGCAAAAACAGTCGCTATCTTACAGCAGTATGCAATTTTCCGTTGCTTGTTACATTTGATGCCCCAGATGGCGATTTACATGAAAAAATGTGCTGTTTGAATTAACCGGGTTGCATATGGCACAATGAGATCAAGAACCTGGTGATGACTATTTTAGGCATTTTGACGTGCTCACTTTTCCAAGACCGCGATCTAGCAATCCGGAAGGGAACTGACGCAATATTGAACTTGTAGTTTGTGACATTCTTAAGTAGGCATGACAGACAGTAGTGGCATGTAGCGGAGCCATCGCGTTTGATGCTGCTATATTGTCTATGATTAATGATGCGACGGAAAATCGCAAGTCTGCCTTCTGAGATTTTCGCCATCAATATCAGCAACGCTTCTGAGACATCGGCGGTAAAAAAAACTGAAAGTGATTTAAATCTTTCATCCAAAGTGTCTATGTCTAGAAACCGTTCAATACAGCTAGTACAACCCCCGAATAGTGCAAAATTCTTAACCAGCTCTGTCTTTCCCGTGATTATAAGGAGACTTTACGTCCTAAAGCTCGACGTTGTACTTTATAATGTGCGTGACGCATTTCGAATGATATTAAGATGGCCAGGAGGTTTCTTATGAGTGCTCTTGCGTAGGTTTACTCTCCAAGTAAGAGGACATTGTTTTCTGCTTCTTTGGGTTTGAAAAGTTTATCGCATTTGATGGTCTGAATATCGGAGTTTTGGAGGAACCCAAACACTAACCTCATTATTTTATCAACTCAAAGTATAAATAACAGTGGATGTAATTGACAACGGTAGTGGAACAAAAGCAACAGGGAGTGGGATTTTGTTCCGGTTTCGCGGTAAACGCAAATTGAAGTGTTTTCTAACCTTGGTTCATCAGAAGCGCGGTGTCCGGGTTTACAAGAGGGCAAGTTTACAGGCAATGACATTCATAAATGCTTTTCGTATGTCGGCTATTTTCGCCTCAGAGGCAGTTAAAAAGAAGTGCCGTCAAACAATTTTAATGTTAAACCCGAATGAAATTTTCCTCATTCGTTACTTTCGTTGAAAAAGTGATGACTTCGTTTCTTGAGGCACTGAAGCAGTCAACAAAATAACACGACTGGCAATTTGAAAATGAAGTGCTCTGCCTAGAGATCGCTTCAGGTTTCTAACATCTGAGTTTTGACAACCCGCTCAACCGTCCAGCTCTGTCGCCACGGTGATGTAAAATTTGTTCCAATTTGTACAGATCAAATTAGACCTGACCACGGTACCACTCTGGACATAACCTAGTGAAAGGAAGAAGGCCTTGGTGCGGAGTTATTCATTCGGAAATGCCAACTGACCGGTTACAGACCATTGAACAAGGAAGCAAAACTCTAATCTGCATTCTAGTTACAAAAACTGGACACAGATCTTCTCCCGAACGAGTCTTCCTGGAGATTCATTGCCTCCAATCATTCGTCGGTCAAATAAAAGCAAATGTTACAAAGTGG